TCTTATTGCCCTGGAGCAATCAACCCTACACTGGAGTCCCTGAGGCTACAGGCAAATCCATTCTGCAGATGTGGTCCTTATTTTCTGTAAAAAACTTTGCCATTTCAGATTTTATCTGAATTATAAACACACCACAGATCTACCTGTGTGTGTGTGTGTGTGTGTGTGTGTGTGTGTGTGTGTAAATGGATTTTAATAGGCCTTTTGGAATTTTACATACCTACTGCTAGGATATAATATTTTGCATCCACTGAAGTCTTTGTTTAAAATGCTGATTCTCATCAATAAGAAATATACACATAAGCATTGTTGCTGACAGTCCCCTATTTCTATAGAAGTTCCCAGTTGAGGGTTCTGGATTAACTCCACGTTATTACTTCCTTTCTGAGTATTAGTGTGCATATGTTTGTTTGTCAGACTAAGTGCACTGAGGGTCAGGCCCATGTCTCACCCATTCCAGTATATTTGCACACTAAACACTTAGCAAAGTACACAGTACTGGTAAGGCGCTAAAATAATGTGCAATAAATAAGGAATGAGCAGAAAAATAAAACTATTAGCACATCCATTGGTTATAATTTATTATGAAAAATAATTATGTTATTCTGCATCACTTACAACAGCCATTACTCTAAAATAGCGAGTTAACTTGTGTCCAGCACCTCTCCTTCTAAAGCTGTGCAGCAATAGAGGGGAGCCCTTGGTCCTAGCGGTATGGAGACCTAGAGGGTAGTTACAACTCTGCCTCTATCATCTGTGTCTTTAGACAATAAACTTTCAACAAAGATAAAAATATAGGGTTTAGATTTTAAACTGCCTTGGGACACAGTCTTTGGGAAATTTTTCACCTGCCACATTTTCAGTATATTTCAGTTAAAATATAAGAGCCAATTATTCTGATCTGTATAAAGTTTACCTGACAATAAAGATACACCTTTTGGAAACCGGGTGCATTATACCAACACACACTTCTGAATGTTGTAACTTGAACACCTCCATACTGTAGCCTGTATGAATCTTACCAGATACCTCTTCTGTTCACTTAAAATGTTCTTTAGAAATGTATAATCCTAGCCAAATCTTTAGTCAATGACCATTATAGGTATGGATAATTAGTTGATCCATACTCTTCAGAGAAATCAATAAGGCATTTATGGCTGATTTATTTAGCTCCTGATATTCACAAGTTTAGGAATCACAATCAGCTGCTCCTAAAGAGACTTCCTCCTCTTTCTGAATCCATAAAATGCCTTCAATGATATTTCAATTTCCTGAGCACCCTCTTCCTCTAAAAGAAAGGGGAAGAGGAACTGTGAAAGACACAATTTACATTTTTTATGCTGTAAAAACTCCTGCCTAACTGCAATGATAAAAATCCAGGTAACCAATGATTCTCAGAATTTTTACTCTTTAACAGCATATTGCTATACTTTGTTTAATTTTACAGTCTGTATTTATTTAGAAGAAAATTTCAACCTAAGAGAACATGTTCAGGCACAAAAGTAAATATGCTTAAAAGTTAACCTGCCAAGACCCAAATTCTGACCTTCTAAAGACATTACTGAGGGGGAAAAAATTCTATAATAAGTAACAAGGAACAGCACAACCATGCAGTGCTCAGCGTCAGCGAAATGGGATATATATTTAACACTAAATGTTCACTTATAAAATGATATTTTAACAATACTTCAGTTATGCTTCAAATATGCCTACATACAACATTATCATGACAGTTGTGTATTTTCAATCACATTTGATGTAAAAACTGTAAATTTATCAGATTTGCTAAATCCTTTCTAGGAATACTTTCGAAGTTTCTGAAACACTAGTAAAAGACGACTAAAATTTCTCATTAAGAAGAAGTGTATTTTGTGGGAAATCTAAATTTCAGATTTTAAACCTTTCATTTTAAAGTCTTAAACATTTCCACATAGGAAAACTGTAAGTATACTTAAGAGTTTCTAAAGCAGTCAGCACAGGCAATGTTAAATTATCATGCCTATCTAGAAAAACAGAGGAGCGCTGTACAGAAGACCCTTACATTTGTGGCACTGTGTATTCCCAGTGGGTTGTGCCAACCCACTCTTTCCCCTGTAATGACTCTTTGTTTTTACTAAGTCCCAAAGGGCCGGTGAAAGCTAGGCAAAGGGAGAGGGGGAGGGGTGGATGGAATGCAGCTGCAGGCTCTGAAACAATGCTGAGTCCATATATTTTGTTCCCAGTTAGAATAATAAAAAGGGGACAGTGGTAGGGGTGGAGGGGTCAATGAGACAACCCAGAATAAACGAGGTAGGGCCATATACCCCACAGTTGTCAAGCTGCAGCTTCCTCCCCACACGCCTCTCCACCTTCTACTCTACCAATTCAATAACCATTCATTTGGGTTAAAAGGCTTATCTGTTAAAGTTCAAATACCCATTAAGATTTAAACCTGTACGCCATTTATATCCAAGTTACTTTTATCAGTGAACTATACTCAGAAGAGGATGGAGCAAGAAGGGAGAATGAAACTTGCAACGGTAAACTGGGGAAGCTGGGACAACATGAGACAGAAAGTTTGGGGGAAGTAGGTACGAGAATTCAGAAACGGGTGTCCAAGGTTTCAAATATAAACTGCCTGCTTTGAAATGGTGCCTGGGGCAACTGGTATGCCAGAGAAAACCATATTCCTTTTTTTTTTTTAAAGATTTTATTTCTTTATTTTTAGAGAGAAGAGAAGGGAGGGAGAAAGAGAGGGAGAGAAACATCAATGTATGGTTGCCTCTTTGCACGCCCACAGCTGGGAACCTGGCCCACAACCAGGCATGTGCCCTGTGACTGGGAATTGAACCAGCAACCCTCTGGTTTGCAGGTGGGCACTCAGTCCACTGAGCCACATCAGCCAGGGCTCATATTCCTTAAGACTAATAAAAGCTGCTTGTGTCTGCAGGAATCAAGAGTTTGGAAGCCTGTATATGTTGGTTCCTCATTACAATTTAACCTGGTGGCCCCTAAGAAAATGTCCTTCACTTGCATCGTGCTGGCCTCCACGTCCCAATGGGGAGAGAGAGTTAAGGCACGAAGCGGACCCCAGAGTGACAGCTGCTAGTGAGGGGAACGCAGTCCAATCCTTACTCTTCCCTCCTAGGTTCTTGCCCTCTTCTCCCTGATAACTGGGCATGAGAAAAGGGCCACACACTAAACCTGATAAGCACAGAGGAGGCCTGCATGGTGGGCCTTACAAACTCTGAGACCTAAAGTCACCACACAGGATGGAGTGAAATAAAAACTTTCTAGCTAAAAGTGAGTCCTGGCAGGCAGTCCTGTCTTATGCCAGTGTCTTTCTTGACAAAGGTCGATCTTTACCTTAATTGAGCCTGTCTATTGTCTTTTTGCATCTACTGATAATTACCATATTCCAGACCCCTCAGGGCACAATCTCCCACCAGAGTAGAAGACCACCAAGCCTCCCATTGTTATTGTTATCCTGTTCATTGTTAACTGGTAACTGTCCCATACTCACCTATGTTAAAGAAATGTCGGTTCATTTTATTTTTTACCTAGTCGAAGAGATTTCCCCTCTTTGCCTTCTCCCGCCTCCCTTACCTACTACCAATGGATTTCATATAACCCCCTTATGTCTTCCCCTTTGATTCTAATGAATAAATAAGTGTTAAAACTGCCATTCTCCAGAGCATTTTCTCAATCTGTTTGGCTCAAATAAACTCATAAAAATTCTTACAGGTTTGGACGTTTCTTATGTCGACATAACCCTTTACTGAATCCTTGGAGCCCTCCAGGGCTCATGGACTCAGGCCTGCCTCTCAAGCATTCCTTCAGATATTACTAATGCCACTAAAATTTTCCAGAAAACTCAAGAAGCCTTAAGGAAACAACCAAAACTAACACCTCCAAAGTAGAATCAGCATGCGCTAAAAAGTACCTAAAAAGCTGTAAAACAAAACTCAGGTAAACCTTGTTTCAATTAGGATCTCCTTCAGGAACACTCACTCAGTAAGTGGTGGAGGGGAAAAAAAGGCCTTCCTTCTAAAGCTATTGTGTAGAAAAGCTCTGACATCCACACACAAACATCTTCAATTTAGCATTGCACACATTTAAAAGTACTCCTAGCTGGTGCTGAATGATACAATTAATCTTTTGACTCTTGAAATATTTTCAACTTACACATTTTAGAAACATTGTATTTATTTATATTGAATTTTTGCATTTTGTGACATGATAAAAAGTCACAAGTATGTAGACTTATAGTAAGCAGAAATATAATCCCCCACCACTTGCTCTTTCTCTATAGCTCAACAATTTACTGACACGTATTCCAATTCTCCATACTACAGCCAGTATATATAGACAAATTCAGAAATGCATTATTAATTTAGGTGAAATAATGACTAAGTCTATTTAATATTAAATATTAATAATACTAATTAAATAATACTGACACCACAGTGAAGTTTTTCATGTGTTATAAACACAAAATTTATAGGTGCATTTGATTAGGAGTTTATTATGTTTTTAAATGCAAAAATAAAATAGAACTCTTTGTTTATTCTGTGAATTGGTAAAAATCAATTTCTACTTATACATTCCATTTTCTGGTATGTACAATCAAACAAATTATATAGAATAGTTGTAACTAAAAAGAACAATCACAAAATCAGAACTTGCCTTACATCAATAATCCCTTATGACTTAATTGTGGTAAACAAAACATTCTTATAATATGTTGCTGCATGTTACACTTCAATAAAATGGTTAAAAATGCAATTACCCATGATTTGGCACAAATTACTGTCAATAAGCTTATCTGTATTATTTTTTAAATAAATCAAGAAAAGAAGATAATTCAAAGTTCGTAAAGGTATCAGAAATTTATATTTAGTCAGAAAGTTCACAAAATATGAGTGACATTAAAAGGCACAGGTGAAGACAAGTTTTAAGAATTAAATATATAATAGTGTGTGAGAATAATAAATTTCCTTGTTAAATCAATGAGTACTCACCCCTTGGAGCCCTTGGAACTGAATTGAAGGTCGAAAACGGATTAAATTCTGTTAAAAGAAACACAAGAAGCAAACAGGTCAAACTTGATTACTGTGACACAGAACTAAATGTTTAAACTTTAAATGTGTGCATTTAATCAGTGCTATACTATAAAAATACCTTTTGACGATATACTTAGGTTTACATGTCATTACATTAAGATGTGATGAACAGTATTGCACTGTTGACATTTCTCTGAATTATACAAACAAAGGTATCTTTCGGCAGGGTAGCTAGCTAATACGGTGTTTGAAAATGACTGCTACAACTTGGCAAAAATGTGATTAGTATACAAATTCAATTTTACATTGAAAAAATACTTACTTAGTTTCTTCATTTGCTTTTAAAAGACAGAAGATGGTCTGACTTTGGCTGGAGGGCATATAGTGTAATACACAAATCTTGTATCATAGAACTGTACACTCGAACCCTACATGATCCTATTAATTAATGTCACCCCCAAGAAATTTAATAAAAAATTTAAAAATAAGATAATACAAAGTAATTCTGTACCTGAATTTTATCATAGTGAAAGGAAAAAACAAAACCAAAAACACCCCTCCCCCCAAAAAAACCCTTGGGGTTAATATAATCTCCTTGAGTACCTAATTTCAAATTGCTATGTATTCAATAAGATTATGACGGAGGGAATAAAAAGGTGGGGAGAGGGGAGAGATTATTGGAGGAATTTTGCAAAACCCTAACAGGATACTAGAAATATAAAATGAAAGTATTTGAGACTGAACTTTGGTTTCCACTTTCTCACTTTTTACCAGAGATTAGTTTTTTGTTAAGGGTCAAACAGGTTACAAATTTTCTCACAAGATTCTTGTTAAGAGAATACTATAATTTCTAGAACAATATTTTGTTTTATTATGAGCTCTTATTGCCTTAATATTTTTTTAAAAGCTGTAATAATAAATATCAACCATAGTCTCAGGCATGATTTCCTATATCTGAAGTCACCAGTTTGTTTTTCTATGGGAATGGTTTTCCAAATTGTGAACAGAAATTCACAGGAAAATCAGATTTGGGTAACATTTAATAATAACACATCAGCCTGTAAACTATTCCTCACACCCTTATATCCAAAACTAGTGCACAAAAAAACAGAGTGTTTCTGGTCTCATCTGAATCCCTAATAAAAATACAGAAGCAGGCACCTGTGTGGTCCCCTTCAGCGCTGCTGCACATTACCTACTACTTTCAGTTACTTTCCAAAACTTCTCTGCAAATTTAAAAGTTTATTAATCAGGATTAAAATAAACTAAAGAAAAAGAAGGAGTTCTTAAAAGACAGATCATCTGAATATAAAATCACATGGTAGCATTATCCGTTCTATTGTTATTTATATAGATAATCATCTTGAAAAAAATTATAATAGTTTTAATAGTTATAATAGTTTAAAAACATTATAATACTATTATCATTGTTTTCCCACCCTAAAATGATCATTTAACTTTAGACTTATCGGCAGGCTTAAAGTACTGTTCGTAACAAGTTCATTTCTTATTGTGCAAGAAGTAGATTTTTAAAAAAGGGAAGATAAAAAAAGTAATAATTGGAATTTTAAAATACTTTCCAGTAGTGATTCATTCCCATTCTATGGTCTTCTATGAAAATATAAAATATATATTAATGCTAGGATTTCCTTACATAGAGAAAACCCTACCCAAATCTATCTCCCATAGCTAAACTTCCTAAAGTAATGGCAACGTGCCTGCAGAAGCCCAGGGGAGCCTCTCCTCTTGTAAAAGTAAGGTGGCCCTACAATTCGGGTAACACAGGTCCAAAGCTCCAGTTTTCACTATATTCCATGTTCCTTTCTTCCTGGTTCTCCCTTCAAACTGCAGTGAACATCTCTCAGGCTCGTTATACTTTCCTCCCTTACTACTTGCAAATCAGAAGCTGTCTTCAGCTCACCACTGGAATCTGAAATTCTCTAAGTTCATCTATTCTTCCTAGTCAAACAAATGCTAACTTTTCTCTAGTTTTAAACTGCTCATTTGTCCACCGGATATCGCTGCTTCCCTTACACTTACAGACACCAGCCCGCCTAGTCTTAGATCAAGCCTTTCACTTCAAAAGCTAATACCCTTCTCCTGCCTCTCTCTGTTGTAGATCCACTCCCACCTGGAGGCTCACCTTGTCTGTTTGGTGATGACTCTGCATCTCTTTTCTACTTATCAACTTGCATCTGTCCACAACCTGCTACTTACAAGTCACTGCCTAACACGTTATGCATTAGAAATTCTCAATGACAGGGAAACTGGCAAACATTAAACCACCCCACCTCACCCCCGAAACTGGCAGCTCTTTCCTACATTTTTGTCAAGGGTACTTCTATCTTTTTGTTCTCCAGGCTTACCACCTTACATTTAATTGATAATCTTCTCTCCCCCAACACCCACTATATTCTATGAGTCAACTGCAGGCCACTAGAGTCACAGAATTCTGAATCCACAGGTAATATAGTTAATACCCACCCGCACGCCCCCTCTACCCCCGCAGCCACAGGCGTGTGTCCCACTACTAACTCAGCCAGGATCAGAACTGAGGACTCAGTCCTCCTATTTTGGCATGCTGCTTTTCTTCTACCTTTCTCCCACCTTGTGCTCCACACACATCTGCCATGGGAGATTCAAGAGTGTGGGGTCTATTCCTTCATGTCAGAGAGTTCACATTTCAGTTGGGGACCATTAGAGAATGATTAAGTACTAGGATAAGTTTTAATACTACTGGGAGGTGTAGTAAGAACTCTCAAAAAAGAGAGAAGAGTATGGGTTAAAAGCGATACTAGAAAAACCAAAGGTCTTGTGGAAAAGGTGGATCTTGGGTAGCAATTTACAAAAGACAAACTCCAGGGAAAGAAAGTGCCCTACCTGAACAAAAACAGAAAGGAGACAGGGATGGGTACTATGTGGGCAAGAGGGCAAGTGTCTGTGTGTGTAGAGTTCTTTCATACTTGAAACACTACACAAAGGATCAGAAATGGACCTGGAAATCCCTGTCTAATCTTTCCTTTGGCTCAAAATTTGTCTTCAGCTTTAGCTTCTATCCACTACAGAATAAATAGGACAGTAATCTAAATTTCAGACTTCTGGGATTTCAAAAGGCTTAGCACCCAGTGAAATACTACTATTCTAATCTCCATTACCTTCTCAGGCAGGGTCTTTGACGTGATAAACAGTTGGAGGCTCTTCTAATTTTTGGAATAAGAAAACGAGTCGCTGAAAGAAGTACTCCAGGGAAAGTAGCTCTTTAGCTACGTGTAAGAAAGATGGAGCTGGAGGGACTGGGGCTAGGGGGAAGAATGAAATCAGCTCCAGGGGACGATTTACTTAGAAACCCTTTGGTGATAAGGGCCTGAATTAGTATGACTTCCTCTGGAGCAAACGGAGGGAAGAACGATAAAATGTGCTAAGAGCTTGAATACCAGGCACTGAAGAAAAATGAAGCGAAGGTGGCTCCAGGGCTCCCAATCATCTTCTCAGGCCAGTCAGCCCCAAGCTTCCTCAAACCAAGTTCTTAGTCTCTACTTTGAAAACCTTTGCCTATTTCAAGCCCCTATTGCCAACCATCTAAATAAAGGCCTTCCTCCCATCCTTCAGTTCCTTCCAACTGTTGCTCATCTCTCAAATAGCTAGCAGCAGCTCTCTTACACAGCCCTCTCAGCATGCATGTTACACAGCCTGTAGTGGCTTCATCAAAGCAAAGCAAACTCCTCCACAGAGAAAACAGACCAGCCATGTACATGACTAACTTAATCTTCCACTTCCTCCAAACTGTGGCTCAGCCATGTTAACCTGTTTGTTTTATAAACATTTTCTTCTCTATTCTTACCTCATTCCTGTTCCTTCAAAGTGGCATACCTTCCCAAACACATGTTGCCAATCCATGATAATCACTCAACATTCAAGTTTAAAATTCATTTCCTCAGGTAGGCCTTCCTTTAGGTGTATCAGGAATGAAAAATTCAATGTGTTTAATGACATAAGGCAGGTAAATGTGAGAGATGGGTATAAAGCAATAAGGAGTGGCGAACACCTAGACAATGAATGTCCAACCTAGAAGCAGTTCAAATTTTTGAAGTTAAATCTTTTCCAGGGCCAAATGAAACACTGCTGCCACCCTTTTGCTAATTCTGACCTATGCCTACTTAGCTGTTGTTTTTCCAGATGGCTGTGTCTACGATTCTACTACATTGGGGTTATATTTTTCCTAGGCTGTCTTACTCCTAGCTGTTATGATATAGAAGATTCTAATACATATTTAACTTACAAGTATTTATCTACATTATGCTCAGTCAAAAAAAAAAGTATTATAAAAGTATTCGTCCATGTTCTCTTTATATGTGCAGTCCATACTCTACACATTATATACCTTACAGGTTACTATTTGAGGTTGTATAGACAAAACAGTATAACTATGCTTTACATCAATTTAGAAACCTTTGAGAATAATTTTGACTTTATCCAGCTTTTTGCCTCATCACCTGAATTTAAAACCTATCCTCCTGATATGCTTATCATTCTATCACTTTACATAGTTTTGTAATGTATAGAGCATTTTTATACTCATTATCTCAAGGGAGCCCCCTCAAACCAGCCCTGGGTGGTTAAGAAGGCATCATTATTGCCCATTTTAGAGGATGAGATGAGTCTCCGGTAAGTAAAGTGTATTGCTCAGGATCATCAAGTTAGTGATTAGTAGAGCTGGACCTCAAATCTAGCCATCTCAGTCTCAAATAGAACCCTTTCTTTTTCTTGCCTCTAAAGCAGGTTACCTTGTAGCACTGAACATTTAAAAGCCCTTAAAGTGCTCACTCAGTTCTTGTGGCATGCTGTGTCCAAAGAAAATGAATTTTATAAAATCATTATAGTTTTCAAAGTTCAGTTTCTGATTAACAAATAACAGGGCTTTACTTTTTCTTTTTTGCTATAAGGACTATATATAATAAAGGAACATACATATTGTGCTAGCATTTTTAATTTAAAAAATAATAAAA